ACAGACGGATTTTACCCTTAAGATGTTTTCAGTGGAACAGCCTATGAAGTGGGAACACTTTATCTGCTCCTGTTTTAAGACTGCTGTACGCTGTACTGTCAGTGTATACTGTAGGACCTTGAGGTACAGTAGCGTCTTGTTTTTCTTATAAACATATAAAGGAAATTCACAATCAATAAAACAATCTTCAAGGATTGAAACATTTGAACATAAATTATGAAATTCTATTTAGAACAATTAAGTTATGTTTGTCATTTTTTTATTTGACTTTGAACTTTTTGACTTGACCTTCAATGTTCATCACGTGAGTCACCATCTATTCCTGTTTACAAAACTTTTTTTAGGGGCAGTGGTGGCTTAGTGGGTAAGGAAGTGGACTTGGGTCTGGAAGGCTTTAGGTTTGAGTCCACCAGCTGCCGAGTTACCACTGAGGTGCTCTGAGCATGGCTCCGTCCTCACACACTGAGCTGCCCACTGATCACTTGGTGATGGGATAAAAAAAGGTCACATTTGGTTGTGTGCAGTGGTGTGCTGTGTTCACTTTTACACCTTATCTTGGAAACCAGCTCTGACCAATTAACACACGATCTGAGAAACAAAAATCAAACTTGTATCAATCCTCTGGTTTTAATCTGTCCTTTTTTATTGAATCCATTTTCTAAGTTAAGTGGTGTACAGTCCCAACTCTGTGAGAAATAGTTTGTACATTTATATTCAGATCATTCTTGTTGTGATCGAGGACAAATAAAGATTGTTTGGAACTATCAAAGCAGTCTCTTTGGGGGTCATATGACCTCCCATCATTTTTCTTTCTCTGACAGCTTATGGTCTGGTTTTTTTATCCAATGAACGATATTCACAAGGCCAATTTTATAGTTTTCTTTGAAACATAGAGACATGGAGGGGATTTTTGTAGCTGCAGCGTCAGATCGGCGTCTCACAATTAGTCACGCCAAGTACTAAAATTAGTCCTTAACATTTCTAATCAAAGCTCATTTGTAGGCTTTATTTAATGTGCTGGATTAGGATGTTGTGTTATTTAGTGTCTCAATGACACATAAAGTGCAGATTTGCACACAAGAACCTTAAAAAACCCTCATCCTGTGGTCAACCTTTTACCAGATTTTTGAGGGGTCAATAATCACCTCCAAGAAATACTGTATCAGTTTTCCTTGACTTCCTCCACCATTACTGACTTTTCAATGTAGAAAACTCCACCTCTTTAAAATCTGTATTAATTCCTCACCGCACCTCCTCAAGGCCTCTAATGATAATAGTTTATTTATTTATTTTTTATTAAAGTAAGTCCACGATCTAGTCCATCACAAATTTTGTTGACCGTGTACCGTATGACCCTCGGTACACCTCCGTGTGGCTCCTGTCATTGGATTAGTCCCTGCTCATATAGTCCCTGTGCAACATGATCCCACATTGCAGCAGGTTGAGCTTAGAGACGCTATATTTATTGTACAGTCAGTGTAAATATAGCCCCAGCAAATGTGACCTTAATAATCTTCAAAAACACAGCTTTGTATATTTCCCAGAATGCATCCTTCTGTAGAACCCATGTGACGCTGTGTTCATGTATTGATCCTGGTAAATCCTCGTCACTTGTTCCTGCAGTGTAGAGTGTCACTGACTGGATAAGAGTCTAAAATAATTGTAGAGCTTTGATCCCGACTTCTAAAGTTATACTCTACAGTGAGGTTATTTTTATTTCCCTATATGTTTAGATAAGCTGCTCATGGAATTGAACAGTAACATTTTACCACCACTTTCTTTCAAATAGACTGCATGAATATCTACAACAAAGTTTATTGCATATTTAGTCCAATCCAGTCATCAATCTGTAAAATGATACTGTACACACATTAATGTGGAAAATGCTGAAATTAATTAAATTTAAGCTTCATTATTTAAAGGTGGCCAAAATATAGCTGATGCCTAGTTCTACACCAGTGGAGTTTATCCAACAATTGAGTGTAGTCAGACTCATATTTGCTTCTTGACGTCCTAGCACTGCTTAACCACTTGTCAAATTTGTGCCTTGAAAGCAAACTCAGCATGTGGGCTAAACATGGTTCTAGTTCACGCACTGTCATCCCCTCCCCTCAGTTTTCAACATTCAAATTATATTATTAGTTAGTTTTACTCCCAGCAGGGGGCCACCATTTCACTGCTCCTCCATACGGCTTCCTCATTGTTAGCACAATCCACCTCACAGTGAGCTACCTCTCATTCTGTGCCCAATCTTTTCTGCCCACACGGGCCCGCAGAGGAAGAACCCTCCAGCTAATTCGAGACTTGCCAGTGGAATTTCACTCGGACAAAGTGAGCCATTCATGGGGGCAGGATGGTGAAAAGGCCCTTCTGGCAGCAGTGATAGCATTGCTCGGAGGACTTAGCCAAATGAAGAGACATTGCTTTAAAGACACTGCCCACAGCGATGCTTCTCTGCTGTCAGTGGCCCCTCGCTTTTTTTTTTTTTTGGTTTCTTTCTCACCCTTTGATTCCAGTGAAGGAAGACAGATGTGAGTTTGTCCCTGTCACAGACTGTCAGCAGAAATTAAAGGTTTGACCTCCGATCTTACCATTTGTCTTCAGTCAGTGGAGCTGGTGTATTTGTGGCATACGGTATCTGACCTCCAGTGCACATATCAGGGGCGAGTCATTGAACGTGATCACCGTGAATCCATTAACGAAAACCCAAACTTCACTTGTATAAACTCAGTGCATGACATTTGGCATCGTGTAGTTAATTAGTCATGTTGCATGTTCATTGGCCGATCAATCTTCCGCCATCATCTCTCATCCACTGTGTATTCAGGGACAAACACTGAGTCTTTATCTTCCCACAGAGGGGAGTTTCCCTCATGTATCAGGCGTGTTAAGCACAACCTTGCTTTACTTTCAATTTCACTAGATTTAAACAGGCTTTATGTCATTAGGGATAAAGAATTTTCTGTATTTTTAGACAAGATTTTTTTTTATTAATTAATAACAAGGCAAAACAATTCAACTTTATATTGTATCGGCCTAGTTTGCAGTGCCGACCCTTTTAGCGCTGAAACAGTGTTATAAGAATACCATAATACATCCAAATCTAGATAATTCTTTCTGAGAAACCCATCCCTTTCTTTTGGTTGTACTACTGCTACACACATATGATCCAAAACAAAATCTCCCTGTGAATTAATATTCACGTCATCTTTCTTCCTTAGAAGAGATATTTGGGATTCCATATGGTATGTATGCAAATAAGGCTAGGCAGTGGCATCAAAGTACTGTGTAATCGGAAGTCCAGGGCTGCCATAAATCAGCCTCGCTCCAGACTTTTGAACGCATTTCCATTTGGCATAGCTCAGCAGTTGGTTTTGTATTTAAATCATTGAATGTGTACATCTGCTCTCATACAGTCTAAAAACATTCCACCACAGAAAGATAATTAAAAATGTGCAGTGCAAATGATTAAATGGAGAATGTATGGCCTGCTCCTCCTCTTCTTTCTCCTGCTCACCCTCCTCCTCCCATCTACGGTCTCCAGCAGTGTACAGTTGGGTTGGTTTCTCCTTCCCTTCCTCTCTCTGTCACAGATTGTTGGGATGTTTCAGATATGCTCTCATTAATTCTCCCTCTCTCTCTCTCATTATCTGTTCTGGTGTGCCTCTCTCTATCTACCCCCCCACCCTCCCCCTCCCCGTATTCATGTGTGCCAGGCAGCTGTCAGTTGTGGCCAGTCTGGTGGGCGTACGCTTCCATGACAAGCAAGAGACAGTAAAGTCTGGAAAAACATAAATTTGTTTAACAGAACATTGGACCAATGTCTGTGTTAATGTATAGTATAATGAATTTCATCACATCCCGCTTTTAAAGGTAGAGAAACTGAAAGCAGTTACCATCCATTATTCATGGTGCGTTTGATGTGCCTCACTAAAATGATCTTCACTCTCACAGAAAATCAATCACTGACATATTGTCTTATGGTAAAAACCAAATCATTTGTTGGGTCAAGGGAATCTTGGGAATCTAAGCCATATCACCAGGCTCAGTGTGAAACCTTGGACTGTTGCTATGAAGTAGGGAGTGCTTCTGCAGAAAATGGGTCATGAGTGAAAAAATCCGGTAAAGTGCCAGTCCCTCGGCTTAAACATTACAGGACTTTTTTGCCCATGCTGTATCCCATTGATGTCCTTTTCAATGAAATGAAGCAGCAGCCTGGTTTCATTAACCAGCCCCTCAGTTGGCCTACATCTGTCAGAAACACACCAAAGGTTCAATGAGACTAAAACAACCTGAAAAGGAACTTTACCTTTGTTAATGGTCCTTCCCTGGACTATTTTATAAGGATTTTCCTTTTTGTTAATGGCAGCTTATGTAACTCAGGTCAGCTGGCATACAGTACAAACACTTCTGATGACTTGTGAACAATAACATTAGCGGCTAAAATACTTCTGTTGGCTTGACATCGTTTTACAGAGGTCTGTCGTTCCACTGCTAACATTGAAACCTGTACTGCCGGCTTCAGGAGGGTATTTATGTACCTATAAAGGCTATGTTTGGCTTTCAAACGTGTCTGTGAGGTAAATAAGTGGAAACTCCTGAGGACACATCTGTAGGTGTCCTGACAGGAGAAGGAAGAGAAGCAGTGTAAAGCCATGCAGAGAGAGGAAAGGGAGCAGGGGATTAGGACAACAGAAGGAACGAATATGCAAAACAAAGGACTAAATAATGAATAGTTAGGTGAGAAGCCTCATAAAGTTAGTTTGAGGAGAGAGAGAGAGAGAGACTGAGAGAGAAGAAGTCAGAGAAAAAGAAGAGATGAACTGAGGGCAGGGGGGATTTTCAGAGGGAGGAGGGGTGGGTGTCCTTTCTGGCCTTGGTACTGTATGGCCTTGTTTGTTTTCTATATGCTATTTCTCCTCCCTTTCCTCCTCCCCTCCCTGCTCAGTCTCAGCTGCTAACCCTCCCTAACATTTCCCTTTTTTTTTATTTCCTTGCAGGGGCGGAGACGAGGCCTACCACCACACAACACGGGAGGCCTGGGGAAATCATTAACTGCACAAACACATTCAATATGACTGGTAGGTTACACTGTGCCTGTCTGTCCATGTGCTCAGTGCATTAGAATCATTATGTGGTCTGGTTTAGGGATGCTGCTGTTTGTTTAATGATTTATCG